AATTATCAAGGGCTCATGAGGGAGGGGGGCAGCGAGGGAGGGGCAAAAATGAGGACCTGATGCCAGGGGCTTAAGTGGAGAGCAAATGTTTTGAGAATGACGAGGGCAATGAATGCACAAATGTGCTTTACACAATTGATGTATGTATGGATTGTGATAAGAGTCATATGAGCCCCTAATAAAACGATTTTTAAAAAGTATATTTTCTCTATACTTTGTATAGTATACAACTTAAAAGACTGTACCATGTCAATTTTTAGGGACATGATCATGGTTGATTTCAGCACATATAGGTAATAAAGAACTAGAATTCTTCCCTTAAAATAAATAGTAAAATTCCAAGCTATCATAATTTTCTCATACTGTATGTCCTTTCTCCCAAAAGCCAAACTTGATGTGTGGGTGGTGTGTGAGAGAGGAGAAAAAAACACACCAAGAATTTAATATCTATTTACAGAGATGCTAACTAATAGTTGAGATTTTTAAAAGCTAACAAACACACCTCTTCTCTCCCCAAAGTAGAATTTAGTTACATTAACCCCTCACTTAGTGACACGGTTAAGTTCCAAAGACCAGTTCCTTATGCAAAAATCAGCACTGTGTGAAGTGGAGGGTGGACACCTCAGTTCACAAAATGATGGCTCTGTCACTGTGTAACTGTCAAAAGCACTGAGAATCATGGTTCAGCCAAGTTGACACATAACCTCAATCATTACAGCCAACGTTCTTCTCACTTTTCAACTCACATTACTGCCAGACGTACATCATTAAGGTAGTTTGCTACCATGACAGTCAATAAGCTAGGGGTATATTAGATACATTTTAAAGATGTAGACATAACATGGTGACGCATATTGCTTTATAGAAATCTTAATTTCTTCTGATATACTTCTATCACTCATGCTGAAACAGAGAATTACTTGCTTTGAGATATTACTTAATTTAGAAGCTAAATATTAACATATGGAATATGTTTTTAAAAACATGAACGATCTCACCCGAGTCTCCTAACAACTGCATGCAACAGGCAAAGCAGCTATTAGTGACGGTCATGTGCTGGGCTCAGAGACAGGGAGTGACTTGCTCGAGGGGTGAGGGCATTCCAGCAATCTTTTCTTTCTTTCTTTTTTTTTTTTTGCAAAATTTTCTTATTTCAAGTGAAAAAGTGATGCTTTTAGCCATAAAAGATTTCAGGACACCGTTTCAAAAACAAGCTCTAATTTTCAAAATAGCAATTAAGTCATTAATGAACACATTTCAAAAATGAACAAAGCAGTACTGTTCAGAAAAAGACCTCCTGTTTGGTAGAACAACAAAAGCGACGCAGGCTTACCACGGCCGCTAGGACAGCCGGGGCGACGTCCCCTTCTGCCGTGCATAAGCTGCCATCAATCAGAGTTGGCTAGACAAAGACTAACCATAGTGTTTGGAAAATTACTTACCACTCCAATGTGGCAAAGTAAAACTGAACTTTGAGGGTTGATATCAAGGGCTTTCTGGAAATGCATTTCTGCAAGGCTGAATTTTTCTTGCTTGTAATAAATCATTCCCAAACCATACCTAAAAGTATGAGAAGTATAATTTTAGGGACATGAAGTTCTGGTTGATATTTCAGTTCAGCTAATACTAGAATGCACATGGAATTTGGTGGTGATGGACTGCCACCCACAGGGTGGTGGTTCAACTCCGTGGAAGAAAGAGCAGGTTGCTTGCTCCAGTAAAGATTAACAGTCTCAGACGTCCTATGTAGATAGAGTGGCCCTATAAACAGGCTGAGCCAGAACTGACTCAATAGTAGGTGGTTTGGTTATTTTGATTAGAAGAGAGGCAAAAAGCACCTATCATGGAAAAAAAAAATCAAATCCTTATCATAATGTTGTTTCTATATTCTTTGCCCAGATATGCATACCGTATATACTCATGTATAAGCTGAGTTTTCCCGCACATTTTTAATGCAGTTTTTTGTGGTAAAATTAGGTTCCTTGGCTGATATTCGGGTTGGCTTATACTCGAGAATATATAGTGTATTTTAGATCATTATAGAATCTTATTTGGCTTCCCTTCCTTTACATACTATATCAAATATACCTTTATATATTTATAGTCTTAAAAATTATAATTTGTAGTGCTCACTTCGGCAGCACATAAATTAAAATTGGAACGATACAGAGATTAGCATGGCCCCTGCACAAGGATGCCACGCAAATTCGTGAAGCACTCCATATTTAAAAAAACAACAATAATAATTTGTAAAGGCTATATAACAGTGTATCATATTGATAAATATTTCTCCCAAATTGTTAAAACACCAAATGAATATAATGTGGCTGATCTACATCAAGAATACCTCTCTTGGCCATGATGGGAGGATGTCGGGAGACTGAACACCAAGGGCATAAAAAAAGGCATGTGTCTGTTTTATTGGAAAGTGGCTTTGCTTAGCATTATAATGGTGCTATAGGTGAAAACAAAACAGATAAGGCCTTGGGCTAATGATAGTGAGGTAGGGAAAAGAAAAGAAAGACTATTTACTCTGGAGGTGGAATAATACATACTTGTTCAGTGCTTAGTCAGAAACTTCCAGACCAAACCAAACTCATTGCCATCAAGTCAGTTCTGATTCACAGTGACCCTACAGCACAGAGTGTAACTGCCCTTGTTGATTTCTAGGCCTAACTTTTTACCGCGTAGAAAGCATCTTTCTCCGTGGTGGGGCTGCGGGCTTTGAACTGCACGTTCTGGTTGGCAGCCCATGTACAGATCACTGTGCCACCGGGGCTCCGGTTAGACACTTAGAGCTACTTAAATACAGGTATACTTCAGGGATATAGTGGGGGTGGTGAGTCAATCTCACAATAAAACGAGTCACACAAATTGTGTCCCATTACATGTAAAACCAAAAAATGTATGTTTACACTGTTTGGTAGCCCAATAGCATCATGAAAAAGCTTGAAAGACTGTGAGAATGACCAAAATGTGACACAGGGATAGGAAGTGAGCACCTGCTGTTGGGAAAACGGTGCCATTAGACTTGCTCAACTAGGGTTGTCACAAACATTCAATTAGGACAGAACGCAGGGCCTGCACATCGCAAGGCAGTGAAGTGTGATAAAATGAAGTATGCCTGTTCCGTCATTATTTAAATTCCTCCTATTAAAACCCTGTCTGAATTTTCCTATTTTCCTTCAATTGAAGCAATATTTTTATTACACAATTATCAGGCAAGTTATTCATTGAAAAACATATACAAAATCAAAAATATACAGTAGTTTTCTAATGTTTTTATGGATTTAGTGACAAATAGAATGATAAAACTCAGCTACTATACTAATTAAATCCAAGGACTATACTTTCAGAGATCATTTCTACAGTTTGTCCTAATAATTAAATCCAAAAAAGAAAAAAAAGAAACCAGTCTGGCATACAGATTACTACAGAGTTAAGATTTCAGAATTGCACTTCTCCTTGTTCTTTGAACCATTGTCAGGACAAAGACAATAAAATGCAAACATGGCATTATGGTGGCAAGAAGAACAATTTGTCTTCTTTGATTATACTATAAGCCAGGCAGCAACCATTCTCTGTCTTGCTGTGCACAAGTACAAAAAGCAAAATACAGCCACAATTTAATAAACTGGACTGCTGAGTTGTAACACTGATTACATGTCAAAGAGAACAATCTAGAGAATATTTTCAAATGGTTTATTTTCTATTATCATAGGTGAATTAGATTACACCTCCTCCCCCACTTTATCAAACATTTTCTATCCTAACCACTACTTTATAATTAAAAGAAAATGTAATAAAGCAAGTGACAAGCCTATTTGTAAAAGCTCAGTAAAGGCTGAATCTGTTGATTATAAGGATCTGGCAAGTAATCATTAGTTAAGAGTTGATTAAAGGTATAAATTTCACATGAAAGCCATGATGGTTAGACGTTATCAACCACTACCCTCCAGCACTCCTGAAGGATTAGTAACCAAATTTGTGAAAACAGACATCTACCTAGAAAAGCCATGTGGATTGTGATAAGAGCTGTACAAGCCCCCAATAGAATGATTAAACAACAACAACAACAACAACAAAAAGCTACTAAATATTAACCTCATCAGTCAGATTTTGCCTTTGCTTTTTATTAGCACTTACCATGCATTATAATGTCTAGGATTGACTCTGATAGCATTTCGAAAACAAGCTAATGCTTTGTCTAGCTCTTCAGTCAACACAAACTCATGGCCTAATAGAGTATAGGCATAGGCATAATTTGGATCCACCTGAATAGCTCTCTGGAAGAACTTAATTGCAATATCATGTTCTCGTTGCAAACTGAAACAGTTCCCTGCAGCACACCAGGCCTTAAAAAAAAACGAAAGCACAAAATACACATTAAAATTTTATCTTTTTCTAATTAAGAAAACCAAACCTATGACTGAAAGCAAGCCTCAGATTCCACTTAGAACAAAAATGCATACGTGATTTAATGTACTTAATTTTAACTATGTTTTGAGAAGTATATATGTACCACTGAACAAGGTCGATATGCATTAAAATACAAGGCTTCAAAAAGTTCATAGGAAAATAGAAAGAATATAGAATTTTTTGAAGTTCTTGTAGCAGTTACATACCATATATATTCGTGCATAAGCTGAGTTTTTCAGCACAGTTTTTTTTTCTTTTTTTTTCAGCACAGTTTTTAATGCAGTTTTTGTGGTAAAATTAGGTCGGCTGATGCTCGAGTATATACGGTAATCTGTCAATTTACGCAGAAGGGGTAGAATCTAGCCTGTCAATCAGGTTTCAGCTTGATGACCTCATTTGGAGGCTCCACAAAGATAAATAGCTCACTGGAGGCCAGACTCACTCTCTGCCTTCCCTTTCCTGCTGATGAGACACTCAGAGAGCTGAGGAGACTCATGAAGACCCGCGCCAGCCTTAAGATGCTTCCACCACTGCTGGATCCACAAGACTTTCTACCCACTGGCCTGTGATCTTTCTGCAGTTGGCCTCATTGCATGTGCTGTGTGAGTCTAAAGAGAATTTATGGACTAGTATCGGACATATGGGCTAGTATTGGACTCAATGGACTGGGCTGGGCTATTTTCTCAATGTACACTTACTCTCTGATAAAAAGTTCTCTCTTGTTTCCAGAGACTCATACATGGGTGTCTCTGGATTTGTTTCTCTAGTCAACCCGGACCAACACAGCTCTCTTGTATAATTCTTCAAGGAGTAAAGCATATAACTCCATTGTGTCTATAGCTTAAGAAGTCATCGCAAGTTACCCATACAACTCTTTAATGAACTCTGAACTTAACTATAGTGATTAAAAAAGATCTATTACTACATTTATTTCTGATCATTTGATTGAAGTCTAGGTGAAAGCTTACACAGCAAACTCATTTTCCCGTCAATAATTCATACACAAACCGTTTGGTGCTGTTGGGGGTGCAACCTCTGCAATGCGCGAGTGCGCTTGTTTCCACCCTGGGTCCCTCTTTCCATTCATCTAGTTTCTCTTCCCTTGCCTGGCTTCTCATCCTTGCTTTGGAGCCAAGGGGGCCCTTCAGCCTCGTGCAGTTGTTCTATGGAGCCCAGTTTTAAAGGAGGTCCTGGTTTATAGGCTAGGCTATTATTTGGCTGAGCATGCTCCAGGAGTGGCTTTAGTTCCACCTTAAAAGGGTGACTTAAGAGACTGGTTCTCTATCAGTCTTGTAAGTCTGGTCTTTTTAAGGTATTTTAGTTTTGGTCTACATTTTTCTTTAGTTTGGATGGGGACAAGAGCAATTTTAACAGTCATATCTTGATTAATCCTGAACGAAATATCTGCGTTGTGATTTGTCTATTTGCTAATTTTCACCCTGTATTTTAGAACTTTGTCTTTTCTTTGGGTCCCTGCCTAGATGGAGGAAGGTGCAAAAACAAGGTGATTTTGCACTGCATGGTGCAAATGGGGTTTATACAAAACGGTTAAATACTAAATGGTGTTTAAAGTATTTGGCTGATCTACATTTGTAAGGCAGTCTTTTAGTCAACATACCTCTGGTGAATTTTTATCCATGTCTGTTAAATCTTTAGAAAGAACTGAAAGAGCAACATCTTTTTGAAGATGCCAAAGTGTTGTAGAGTAGATCTCCATGCCTTCAACTCTGTAATTCTCAATCCTTCTAACCTCTGAGAATATTCTTTCAGCCTGAAATAGACAAGCTGGTAATGAGAGGACAAACTGGCAGCACTCCATATATAGAGAGCACTGGGCACTGGCTACACACAACCTAAATGCTTCCCCATAGTTGAGTTTTGGGGTGGGAAACTGCACAGAAACACATAGTGGGGCCGTGAGGCCAACTGTCTGCATGGCAAATGGTTGGTTTTGAGCAATGAACATTCTTTTTTTTCTACTAGGCACAATTACCTGTGTATCCTTTGCATTTATTTTTTGCCTGGAAGATTCCCCTCTGTGCCTGTTCACAGCTCATGAAGGAGGATAAACCTTTTCACTCTGAGCACGACAATGGAGAATAGCACAGTACTTCACTGTCCCTATCTCCTTACCAAGCTTTATTTTTCTTCACGTGATTTACAAAAGCATGTCCTTATACATTTATTGTCTTACAGCCTGTTTCTTTTACTAGGAGGTTAGCTCTAGGAAGGCAAGAAATTCTGTCTAGATGTCTTCCAGAGTCTAGAAGACAAGTCTAGCACAGAAGTAGGACTTAAATATATGTTGAAGAGCTGAAAGTAAATTTAGTGGAAGGTAACTATTAAATTATAAACAATCCATATTAGAGAAATTTTACTATTATACCATGTTTAGTAGAATACATAACAGGTGTTTCAGACTTAGAAAGCAGGGGGACAAAGTGCTTTGGTAAGGAGAAATGGGAAGGTTATTTAAACTGGAAATTAGATTTGTCTTTGGACCTAGGTTAATCATCTTCTCTTTTTCTGTCATCATAGATAACTTAAACAAGAAATGTAAAAACCTTGGGATAAAGACATTATGTCCTCTCATAAAGCATAACTTTCTCCATTGTATTCTTCAAACTTAAAAAGAGTATATGCCAACAATTCATCCTAGTAAATAATGAGGTATGCTGTAGAAAGAATTGACTATATTATGTCATAAATATGTATTTTCAGCTCCAGTGACGTAGGGTACAAGTGTTCCTCTTAAGAATGTAAGTACTTGACTGGCCCCAAATCTATCTTAGGAAATTTTACAGAATTTCTTACCCTTTAAAACAAACAAATAATTCTAATTGTAAATTATATATGCTGAAATAAGCAAAAAGACATTATGTAATATTACTATTGGACCTAACCTTCTCAAGTATAAATATTTAAATTAATTATCACTAGAAAGGCATGGGTAACTTTACTATACTTACTTGCATGTACTCTGAAAGTTCAAAATAGGCCCTTCCAATTTGGCACAGTACCCAACCCGTATTGTAGTGGTGAGAAGGTAGGTGGCTCAGTATATGTATAGCTTCTTTGCAGTTGTACGAACACAAAGCTAGATAACCTTTCCCCATTTCACGAAGAAGGCTCATCAAACCTTCTAGGAGAAAACAATATAGTAAACAAAGGAGAAAACACAACAAAGCAGTTTGGCTTTCTAGAAAGCCTAAACAAACACCCAATAAATCATTAAAAAGTCCAACACTTATGCAGAAAATACTGAGGGCACTGTAATGAGCATAAAGAAATCTACTTAAAATGCATGAGTCATAAAATAAAATACAAACATGCTATTAAGCAGTCCAAACAGACCTGCTGCTGCTCTCTGTAGAGTGAGAGCCTGGATCTGGGGCGTGATCGTGGGCATCCTCCCTTCTGAAATGATGGAAGAGTCCAATTTTGTGATTTCCAGGCTATCATTGATGTTAGGCTGAGTAAGTCCTCCTTTATTAGTCTTACTTTTCGTCTTTCTATTTGGGATTTTAGGTGGAAACTTCATTTTTAATTTTTTACTATTCTCCTGTAAAAACGGGGGGAAATCCCACACTTATACTCAGGTACTTTTAGATTTCTCAAAACCCTTCTTAAGTATCATAAATAACTGTGGAATCTTATTCTAAATTTTTCATAGAAGAAATTTATATACATAAAAGTTTTCAAAATAACTTAATTCTAAATACAAGAACCCTGAAAATAAACAGCATTAAAGAACTAGCTAACAAATATGGTGAGTCAACATTAACTATTACTTGAAGTATATTATGCTTTTATTATAAAAAATATGAAAGTAAGTAGGTACAATCTACCTACATGTTTCAGGGACATTAAAATTGATTAGTCAAAATTGTTGGTTTATACACGTGAGAGCTAAAGACAGCCTATAATATGGGTCAATGGACCAAGAAAATTTACAAAAGGGTAAGCATGCTCTCTAATTTTCATCAACTTTTTTATTTTGGCATAATTTAGAACTACAAAAACGTAATATGGAGACTTCTCATCCCTCTTTCACCCAGAGACCCTACATTGGATCTAACTATAGTACACTATCAAATCCCGGAAACTGGCATTGGTACAACACTATTGACTAAACTACAGACTTTATTCAGATTCCATCCATTTTTACATGTATGCTCTCTGTTCTTTGGAGAATAGTTCTATGAACCTAACACATATGGTGGATTTCTATAATTAACTACTACAATTTCAATACAGGACTATTTCATCACCTCAAAGAAATTCCCTTCTGCTATCATTTAATAGTCACATACCTCTAATAAAGCACTGTAATTTTGTCACCTCATGAACAATGTATTTATTAAAAGACTAAAAAAAAAATTATAAAGCCTATATAAAAGGCTATATGTGATAGTTATATAATTTCACGTCAACTTGAAGATATGGAAAAGTGTAGGGGTGGTATTCAACCTGTCAATCAGGTCACAGCCTGATGTGCCTCCTTGTGGGCACAGTCTTCTCATAAGGAGAGTCCTGGGAACACTCTCTCTCTGCCTTCTCCTTCCTGCGGGCTGACCCTGGTTGCTGTGATCCCTTGTGATGCAGTCACCACCATTGGATCCACACGACTTTGCACCCACTGGCCTGTGATCTCCCTGCATTCTGCATCATTGCATGTAGCTGCGTGAGTCTCAAGAGGGACTTAGGGACTAGTATCGGACTTATGGACTTGATCTGGACTGGGCTGGGATGTTTGCTTGACATATAATTCCTTCTTGATATAAAACTCTTTCTTATACCTATGAGTGTCTCTGCATTTGTTTCTCTACTCAACCTGGCCTAACCCACTGTCTAAGTTATCTTTTTAAAAATTCTCAGTTTAAGGAAATTTGTTAGTAGAAATGGGAAGGAAGTTATTTATTAGACATAGCAGTTATTGATACAGAAATTCTGGAGGGGGAAGCATTAGGTACAAGTGATGTACAGAGATCTTGAAATTACCTTGGTTGTGGAGCTGTCACTAGTAAAAAGCCGTGAACTTCTTCGAGGCAGTGCGTTTGGGGGAGATGTGATAGTGGGGCTCAGTACCTGAGGTGTTGTACTACAAGACAATTATAAAAGAAGACATTCATTTCTCACTCCACATGTGACCATTCACTTTGTTTCCATTGAGGCAGATTAAAAGCATTCATTTATCAAGTTTGCGTTTCTCAAATTGATATGTTTGGTTGGGTCTTATGTTTTCCTCCTTAGGAAAACACATTATTTAAAAATGATTTATGGTCTATAAAATGGTAAAAATTATAGTATAGGTCTTTATTCTACCAGAAATCGGTAAGTTGAATTTAGAACAATCTACATAAAAGTTCTAGGCCAATAAATGGTAAACATCTATAGGCCAATTCTCTTTAGCCCTCCATTTGCAACTGTAACAAGTGAGGGAAAAAGGAAAAGACAGGTGGTCACGGACATTCCACATGCTGGAGTAAATGACAACAAAGGTATACTGCTAGACAACTACTACCCGAGGAGTTATTTCCCTGTAAAGTCAACCAGCCCCACCTAAGTTTATTCCATTTGGATTGGAGCAAAAGGATTCTGATAATCACTTGGAGATTTTTTTAATACTTTAAGGGCCAAACCTAGGATATAATAATTTGATTCTTAGAGAGCAAGCAAACCTAAACCAGAAATCATCTAATTAAGGGTAGTTAAGCCTATGGACTAAATTGTTCACAGTTTATGCAGTTATGGGAAATTCTGCTAGTTACCTGAATCTTAGGTACAGAGAGTTTAAAAATAAGAGATGCTGGCTAGTGAGTAAAGAATCATTTAAAAGAGAGCCCCAAAGCAGGAATTTCAACAAGTGAGGTAATTTGGGTCAACCAATTAGTCCTAAAGAGTACACTATCCTTGATTTGGAAGAACAATATTTATATTATAAACAGGAATTATATTTTGCTAATCTCCACTACTGTTGGGTCAATTCTGACTCAGGACAAAGTAGATCTGCCTTATAGAGTTTCCAAGGATATAAACTTTTGTTTTTTTCAAGGATGTAAACTTTATGGAAGCAGACAGCCCTATCTTCTTCCCTTGAAGTGGTTAGTGAGTTTGAATTGTGGATCTTGCAGTTTGCGTCTGAGTGCTTAATCACTCTGCCACCAAGGCTTTTTAATTTCTTAGTAAGAATGATTAATTATAGAAAAGTATTTTGTCTGACAAGTGGGACAGAGTAATTTCAAAGCATGGGGTAACCTGAGAATGTTACTGAGATTAAACAGACAAAAGGCTGTATGAGGACAACACAAATCTCGTGGAGTAAAAGTAAGATTAAGAGAGAGAGGGTTCTGGGGCTAGGAGAACGGAGTAGACAAACTCTTTATTTCCGAGTGTTTCATTAGTGTCAAAGGCTGATATGATGCAAGGGGGAAAATGCCCAAGTCTGAATGGCACCACGAAAAGAAGCAGGGTACCGAACGATTTTGAAACGCCGGTCACGTTATATACAACATTACACACTAATCACTATGACTTACATCTGCTTAGCTACATCTACTTAGCTAGAACTTTGACAATGAAAGGTGTATACGGTGGAATCAGACTGCCTAGTTTTGAAATTAGGCTCCACCACTTAATAAGTGCCAGTTGTCTTAAACTACTTTTTTATAAAGTTTGTGTGAATAGCATCATTGGTTTTCTCATAAAGTACATTATTTTGAAAGTTTAAAAAATAGTATGGAAATATATGAAAATTACTTTTAGAAGAATATTTACAAGTAGAAAATGATGTATCAACTTTCTTGGGCAGTTTAGCTAACAGTACTATACCACCCTAGGCCCCTGGTGGCATAGTGGTACGAGTTGAAGTGTGATTCACCAGGTCTGCAGTTCAAAACCACGAGCCGCTCCTTGGGAGAAAGATGGGGCTTCTTACTCCTGTAAACAGTTATAGTCTCCGAAACTCACAGGGGCAGTTCTACCCTGTTCTCTGGGGTTGCCATGAGTCGGCATCAGCTTGATGGCAATGTTTTTGTTTTTTTACGATACCATTCTAATAATAAAAAGCAACAACAGTCTAAATATAGAGATTCTGCTGCCAGCCATGATTTTACAAGAATAAGGACCAGATGTATTCTTATCTTAAACAAGGGTTGCTATGAGTCGGCATGGACTCACTGGCAGCGAGTTTGTTTTCTTGTTTATTTAATTAATTAATTTATTTTTCTTTGTTTATTTTAAATAACAAAATATGTGACAGAATGTTTTCAGACATAAGACAACAGGTAGCGCATGTCTCAAGGGAGTTATGAGGCTGCAGGGAAGGGGAACACAAATTGAGCTCAGTGGTCTCCTTGCATTCTTAAGATGCTGAGAATTACAGCAGGCCCAGGAACTAGAATTTGCAAGAACTCCAGAGATCTGCAAAGGGATTTCCCTGGAGTGTTTAGCTGGAAACATCAGCGTAGAAGTGTGAGTAAATACCTGAAGTGAGGGCAAGGAAGCACTGTACAGGCAGAGGAAAAGCAATTCTTAGAAACAATCCTGGGCTGGGAAAAGGTCACATTTCTAATTGCCAGAGAGGAGAAACTTCCTAATAAATGCATCAAAGGGTAGAGTACTCAAATGGAGCAACCAACCTTAAAGGGTGTTCTTTCCTACCTAAAAGAAGTTAAAAATCTAACAAACAAACAAACAAACCTAGGACTTAAAAGGATCAACCTATCTCCAAGGAACTTAACTGCATCACAGAACAAAACTTAGAATACTTAAAGTAATTAGAAATAAAAGAAAACCCCAGCATTCATCAATGTACAATTGATAATAATTGGCAATCAAAATAATAACAAACCTACTAAGCATACAAAGAAGCTGGAAAAATGATCTATAACAAAGGGAAAAATCAATAAAAAAACACAGTAACAGAATTAGTAGATAAGAATATTTAAAAACCCATTATAAAATATGATCTATATGTTCAAAATAGAGGAAGAAAGCCTAGGTATGTTAAGGAGAGGCCCAAGTCAAGCTTCTAGAGATGAAAAATATAATTTCTGAGATGAAAATAAAAGACGGGATAAGAAGATTAGGCACCACAGACACATCCAAAATGACGCACAGAGACGAAATAGCCAGGACATAAGATTAAACAGAGCACTTGTGAACTTGGAAGCTAACAGGACTTCAAGTCGTCTAATACACATACTCAGACTATAAGAAGAAGAAAAAGGTATACGGACAGAAAGAATATTTGAGGTAATAAGAGCGAAAAATAAACAAATTCGATAAAAATGGTAAACTCACAGATCCAAGAAGCTTGAGGAGTCCCAAGGTCAAGAACCATGAGGAAAACTACATTAGGGTACATCATAATCCAATTGCTTAAAACTAGTAATAAAGAAAAAACTCTTAAAACAGCCACAGAAAAAAGGCACATTACATACAAAGGAACAAAGACGAGAATGACATCAGATTTCTTGTCCAAAATGACGCTAGCCAAAAGATAGGGAACGCAATATCTTTGATGAAAGAATATCTGTTCAGAGAATTCTATGCCTGATAAAAATATTGTTTCAAAGGCAAAGATGAAATAAAAACTTTTCTGGATATACAAAAGCCCAAAGAATTCATTATTGGCAAACCTAGACAACAAGAAATATTAAAGACAGTCCTTCATATTGAAGGACAGCGATGCCAGATAAAAATCTGGATCTGAAAAAAGGACTCCAGAAATAATAAATACAAAATGGACTTTTCTCTATTAAAAAAAAATCTCTCTACATGATCAAAAGCTGTTCATAGAGTTAGAACGTTCAGAAACAGATCTAGGACAAAAGCATAAAGGCGGGGAGGTGCCTGGGCATCTACTGCTCTAAGGTTTTATAATACACGTGAAGTGGCAAAGTAGCTGAAGGTCGACTTTGATGGATTAGAGATATATGATAAACCTAAAACCACCTCTAAAGAGGCAAAACAGAGTGATTGCTAACAAGGTAATAGAGGAGATAAAATAGAATCACTAATACAAAGGACATATAGTTATTAATTGTTGGGGCTTATTACAGTCATAATTCAGGAGAGTTATATTTTCATATTCTTCAGGACTAGCACAGGGTGCTGCTGTTAGATGCCATTGAGTCTGATGTTAACTCAGGGCGACCTCCTACGTCAGAGTGGAACTGCCTCTCGGGGATTCCAGGCTGTAATTCTCAGCGGGCAGATTCCAGGCCTTTCTGTCACAGAGCCCCTAGCATGTACAGCAATGCTCTGCTGCAGGAATCGGCAGGGTCCTTCGCAAAAGAGACCGAGGCAATGACCGCCACATGTTTGAAGCTGGCACTCACAAGGAGGGCGACTAAACGCTCTCAAGCTCATAAAAACACTGAGGGTTTTTAATACAGTCAAGGATTATGCATCATTACATGGGCACTGAAGTCATATGTCTGTTTGTAGCATCAAAATAAGGGAAAACGCTAAAGAATGTCAAACAATGACAGCATAATACATACCTTGTTTGTGGGCCAGAACTTTGTGTTTGTGCGACAAGAATTGGAGTTACCTCTCGACTATTTCCACTCTGTGAGAAGACAGATTTTGTTCCAGTTTGGCCGATTCTGGCAACAGACTGTAAAACATATAACAAACACGCTTAAGGTTTGTGAATTATAAACTGTATTGTAAAGGATACCGCAACTGCCCATTTGCATTCTCCTAATGAAAGACTTTATAATATAAATCATCATCTGAAAATTAATGAACAGGCCACAAATCATTATCTAATATGAACACCATCTGTATCTCTATTGTATTTTTCTTTGTTATCTGTTCACCATTCTCTTTAGTTTCAAAAGAAAGGTCTTAATTTTCTGGAGGCTTTTATTCTTATTGTGATCACCTTCCATTCAGTATGTCTCTACTCTATTTGGGGCTAAGTGGTGGGCACTAGAGATAAAAGAGTTTTAAGACAAATATTATTATCAAGATTTGTGATAAAATTCTCTCTATACACACACACACACACACACACACACACACACACACACACACACGATTTATTTATTTATTTTTTAGCATTTTATTAGGGGCTCATACAACTGTTATCCCAATCCATACACACATCAATTGTGTAAAGTGCATTTGTACATCATTTCTCAAAACATTTTCTCTCCACTTAAACACCCACATTAGGTCCTCATTTTTCCCCTCCCTCCCAGCTCCCCCTCCCTCATGAGCCCTTGATAGTTTATAAATGGGTATTTTGTCATAGCTTACCCTGTCCGACGTCTCCCTTCACCCACTTTTCGGTTGTCTGTCCCCCAGGGAGGAGGTCACACACAGTTCCATGTAATCGGTTCCAGCTTTTCTACCCATTCTCCCTTTACCCTCCTTGTTTTGCCACTCACACCACTGGTCCTATAGGCTCATCCGTCCTGGATTCCCTGTATTTTCAGTTCCTAAGTGTACCTCCTCTGGTCTAGCCAGACTTGCAAGGTCGAATTCGAGTCATGGTAGTGGGAGCAGGGAGGAAACATTTAGGAACTAGAGGAAAGTTGTATTTCTCATCATTGTTACATCACACCCTGACTGGCTCATCTCCTCCCCGAGACCCCTCTGCAAGGGGATCTCCAGTGGCCTACTAATGGGCTTTGGATCTCCACTCCGCACTCCCCCCATCATTCACTATGGTAAGATTTTTTGTTCTGATGATGCCTTACACCAGATCCCTTCGACACCTCTACACACATGATTTAATTGAACTTCTTTGGCACTTAGTAAACAAACAAACAAAAACAACCGTTTTACAACAGGAGTTTAGGGGAGAAGGTAAAAGAGATAATCCTCCAATTACTTCCCAAATTGTATATTTCCTTTCAGTTTTTCCAATCTTTCATTAAGTTGTCTTCCTTGGAGGAAACAATGGTAAATCTTTGCTTGATCTTTCTGTTTTCTCTTATTCATCACCTGATTTCTATCCATTTACATCATCAGCGTTTTAGAAAGGGGACTAAGATCATTAAGTCAGTAGATTGTTTCTAAGCACCAGATGATTTTCTTCCAAACTTACTGCTACTCTATTTGCTGTAACTCATTCTCAAATTGCTAGCTATGAAATCACTGATCACCATGATCTCATCAGATAAGAAAGCCTTATTTTAACCCTTCCTGCATACTATCGCAGTGGTCATCCCTCCTACTCCCTCACCCTCCGCCCCCCAACATTTTAAACTTTTATGTGAACTGGCCGAAAGGTTTACAGAACAGATTCGTTTTCCATTCAACAAGACACACCTATTTTGTTTCATCTCATTGACAGCAATCTCCACAAGGTTCATCCTGTCCTTTTAGAAAATTCACCTAACTTCCTTGGGTATGAAAAGAAAAAGGGCAGAAGAGAGGCTGAGACAGCAGGTGGCTTTTATTACATGGGCACTGAAGTCATATACCCGTGCCACTGCTTAACCGGTCTTCTCCTAACTTTGGCTTGCTAACCATTATCCTACCAGGCCGTTTTCATAGTTCTAACATCATACTTCACTCCCATAATACAAGAGTAGGTAGGTACCAAATTTTAAAAATCAATTTTAAACAATATGTACATAAGCTAGACAATGGAGTATTTTCTGATCATTACTCAGGAAGTATTACGAGGAGCCCTGGTGGCATAGTGGGTTATGCACTGGGCTGCTAACCAAAAAGAGAGCAGTTCAAAACTACTGCCTCCCTTCCAGAGAAAGATTAGCCTTTCTACTCTCATAAAGACGTGTAGTATTGGAAACCCACGGGGGCAGTTTCTGCTCTATCCTAGAAGGTCCTAATGAGTCAGAGTCAGCATCGACCCGATGGCAGTTGTGGATTTTCAGAAGGAGCTATTTCTTTCTTTTGGCTTCTGAGATTCAGACGTGGAAAAGGTGTTAAAAACGAGCACAGACACCATTCTCATTCACATATGAGTATGACTTATTTGGCTTCCAGTTCTTGAATTTGTATTAAGTTCTAGGTATGTCAATAAGCACACACACACACACACACACACACACACACACACACACACTTAGTTCTCACACAAGATATATGGGCAACACATGTATGTTAAACAAAGGGTACTTTGACATTTGCTGTCATATACCTCTGCAAGGGGAGATTATAAAATCCTAATTTTGTTGAAAAAATAAAAGTAAAAATCTGAGTATGTCGATTTTATTTAGCTTAAAGAAGCCACACTTACTTAGTGAGCTACAATCTTACTTGAAAAACAGAGCAGCTGGCTTTACATCGTGGAGGAGAACCAGGAGGCTCTGGCAACAACGACCCACATTTAGGTCAACCACTCTAAAGGAAAGCAGCTCTACACGGAAGCGTTTCTCTGAAATCACCTTTTGTTGTTGTTGGTTGTCACTGAGGCGATGTGACTCATGGCAAGCCCATGTGTGCAGAGCAGAAGGCTCCACAGATTTCAGGCCGGGACCTTTGGGGAGGAACTGGCCAGGCCTGTCCTTCAAAGAGCCTCTGGGTGCATTCAAATGGCCAAACTCAGGGTCAGGAGTTGGGTGCTGAAGCGAGAGCACCACTAGGGACTCCTGAAAGACTTTAACAGACTGGGATTTTAAATGTGTTTCTTTCACCACTACCGGCAAAAAGACTGGGCCGGCCTTTCTTCTCCCATAAAGAGTTCCAGTCTCAGAAACCCAAAGAGGCGGTTTTACCCTGTCCTATCAGGTTATGCGTGGGCACTGAACTTGACGGGAGGGAGGGATTGAGCTTACCAATAAATACTAAGCCACATTTTGCATGGAAAGTACCTTTTTGGAAGGAGCTCCGGTGGATGGCACATCAATTACAGAAGTTGTATTAGTGTAGTTTTGTAAATAGGATCCATCTCCAGGACTTGGGGTTTCTAATGGCAAAATCCCAAAACTGAGAAGAGGTTGAAATCAAGGTGTCAAAAAGTCATCAAGGCATATATAAAGCAGCAGTATACTTAAATTAGAAGGTCTAAAAGGAAGAGAATGGCAAATCAGTCTTGGGGGCAGTGAGGTCTGAGGGTAGATTAAAATATAGACTATGCCACCCACCATAATGAAGATTCTTAAAAGATCAAACAAGGAGTTAAACTGAGCAGTAACTACTGATCTCGGGAGTCTTAAAGATAAAGAGTGACTTTATAAACATTAATATCCAAATGATAAAATTACTTTAAAAGCTTGCGATTTAGACACGATTACAGAGAGGTTAAGTATTTCTAGAGAAAATGGAATGTGCTATTCATATTTAAACATCAATAGATGTAAATCCTTCCTCCATTTTTGGGAACATAGCATTACCAATAACTATTGCTGACCATACCAACATTGGGATGGGTGGGGTGGGGTGTCATTGCAACCCACTACTGCAGACCCATGAAGACGTTATCTTTTAATGTGCACACTAACTGGGTAAGGTTCACCGAAGAACTTAACATTTGTCTCCAATATTTAATATTATTGTTTTCAAAAGGAGCATATATCTTATTTCATTTTCTAAAAGAATAGATTCATTACTGATTTATTAAATGCCTCAATTTCCATAGTGATTTAGAAATGTGCTATTCAGACTAGGTGATATTACTAGTTAATATAAATTATTATTATTATTTTTAGTTAATATAAATTATTGTAAGATCATTTACTATGACTGCACCTTTTAAAAAATCTTACCTTGGGGTTAATGGGCTAAGAGCAGCTGGTCCTCCTAGTAAACTCCGACCAGTTTTTGGTTTATTTTGAACCTGTTTAGATAATATAGAAGTTCCTGTTCCAAGAGGGACAGTGTCTGGTGAAATGACAGCGGAATCAATATAAGACACGGAGGAATCTGTGTTCAAGGAGTACTTGGGATTGGAAGATTCTAAATTCAGTCTGTTTAATTCCTGAAATACAAATTTTCTACCATGTCATTTACCATACATTATTTAGTTCAGATCATGCTTTCTAAATTTCATAATACTACGAATACTTGCATATATCCACTTACAATTGTGTCTTGGGGTGTTTCTGTCAGAACAGTCTCAGGCTGTCTGTGAGATAAACTATGATTAGATACTAGTGTGGTACAGGAGTTGGGTAGACAGTTGCTAAAGTTCTGTAAAGATGTTAATTTAAATGTTTGGTCAGGATCTGGCTTTTCACCTGCAGGGACACAAATGACAGGAAAACAAGGATACACTTTTTTCAGGTGTGCATCAATCAGCTGAAATAAAGCCCTGTCCAGACCTTTCTGATTTCAGGGTAAAGGAGTCTAAACGATGGTGGATACTAAAATTCTAACACGTTCATGCATCTAGATGCAATGTCTTGCAATAGCCCTTATGCATCCCAGAGCGTCCACATCATATTCCTTTTGCAGTCTCTTCCCCACGTACTCAATTACCTTGGAAAGGTTCTTCTCTAGAAATTCAATAGTAGGCTAAACTCCTCATATTCTTAAGGACACAACATACTTAAACTAGACTGGCTACACAGAAGAGACTACCGGTTTACTCTCTGGGGTGGAGTACTGAAGGGCTACTTTGCTGAACCTTAAACTTGTAAGTTTAACATATTACTTAGTCTCAATTTTAACCACCCTTAGCTTTGAAAAATCCTTTTCTTGTGAACAGATGATTTGTATTGCTCCCCCCAAAATTAGTCAAGAGGACAAAAGGAAAGAGAAGAGGAAACGAGGTTGGGATAACTTTTCCCACCCCCTATAAACCTACCTATTTCACATAATGATTCAAAGGGGGACCAGAGGAAAGGATTTAAACTAAGGCTCTTTTGGTAACATTCTGATCCTTTGGCAAGCCGATCTGTCTTGCTGTAGAGAGAAAGAAATAGATTAAACAAGCTAGGAAACCCCAAACATTTATTTATTTGCCAGAATCCTTTCTCCCCTCCACCTTTTTTAAAATAATGAAATCATTTTATTGGGGGCTTGTACAACTCTTATCACAATCCACACATACATCCATTGTGTCAAGCCCAAACGTTTATTATGAGTTTTTAGAATTAAAAATTAGATAAATCTTATACATATATGTTCTAAGAACACTCTGCTCCACACTCTCCTAAATGATCAATGTCCCCTTTTGCCAAGCGCCAATCACTGTAAGTCAGGACAGGGGAAGCACACAGCACACGAACTGGAAGGAACACTAATATCGCCTTAGTGAATTCTGTCACCGCTTTTGATTCAGTCAGACACTCAGTTACTGGAGGAGAAACGAAAAACTTCCAAATGCGTCATCTCATGCTTAATTTCTGAATATTGTGAAAGGGACTTCAAAGCATATTTAAGTGATCAGATTTTCTAGCCAAGTATTCAGATTCCAGTTTTTATGTGCATTCACTGAGAGTGTACGTATAGTTTTATGAAAATTCACATCATGTGTAGATTTGTATAACCACCAGAACAATCAAGATATAGAACGGTTGCAACATCCCAAAGAATGTTGGCCCCCCTTTCTAATTAATTATACATTTCCTCAATCCTAAGCCTTTAAAAACCACGAATATGTTCTCTCGGGCTATAATTTTGTCATTTTAAGACTATTACATAAACCGGATCATAGATTTTTCTCACTTGCTGTAATTTTATGGTTTCTTGTTGTTCCTCATTAAATGCTGAGCATATGGATGTAACAGTTTATCCACTGAACCCATCAAAAGACATGTGGATGGCTTCCAGTTTTTTGCTTCCACAAATAAAACAGCTACGAACGGGTACCCTTTACATTCCCAACAGCAATGCCTAAGCATCTTGCTTTGTCAGTAATTTCCATTTGAGCCAGTCTAGTAGAAGTGTCACACCAAATCCACTGACAGTAAATCAATTCTGACTCATAGCAGTTGGAGAACTGCCTCATAGGGTTTCAAAGGCTTAGAATGCCACACAGTGGCTGGTTGGTTTGAACCGCCAGCCTTTCAATAAGCAGCCTAGCACTTACACCACTGAGTCACCAGAGCCCCCTAATAAGAGCCTCTATACTCATTGCCACCAAGTCAATTCTGACCCACTTATAGTGACCCTAAGGACAGAGGAAATCCGCCCCTCTGGGTTCCAGAACCTGCAAATCTTTCCCGTGCCGGAATCTTTATAATGCCAGAAGATGAGCCTCCCAGATTACAAGGCACTCAAAATACAACTGGGGAAAAGCTGCCTCCTCAAAGTAGAGGTGCCCACAGTGATGGGGATGCAGTAAAGCTTTGGGGCATTCACTTGTTGATGGGATAAAACTCAGATAGGATAAGAAGAAACAGGTGCAAACATCCATTAATAATCAGACATGAACTATATGAAGTATGATCTAGGGAGTGGCTAAAAAGGAAATGGGTGAAAAAGAAATGGGATTCACAGAAATTAATGTCCTAGACATTAGTGAGTGGCAATAGACTGATATGCGCCATTTTAAATCAGACAGTATGATTTACTATGCCTATGCGGGGAACCACAAATTCAAGAAGAATGATGTCACATTCCTCGTCAAAAAGGATATTTTAAGTCTATCTTAAAGTACAATGCTGCATGTGATAGGATGAAATCAACAGGCCTACAAGGGAGTCCAGTTCATGCGATTATTATTTAAATTTACACACCAATCACTAAAGCTAGTGATGTAGAAATTGACAAATTCTACTAGCTTCTTCATTCTGAAATTGATCAAACATGTAATCAAGATGCACTGATAATTACTGGTGATGGGAACGTGAAAGCTGGAAACGAATAGAAGGATCAGCCGTTGGAAAGTCGGGCTTAAATGACAGAAACAAAGCTGAAGAGCACATGAAGCAATTTTTCGAGCCGAATGACTTCTTCATTGCCAATATCCCTGTTTCAACAACAGAAACGGTGGCTGTACACGTGAACCTCACCAGGCAGAAGGTGAGCCTGATTCAAGCCATGGTATTTTCAATACCCCCATTTGCACATGCAAGTTTGACAATGAATATGGAAGACCAGAGAAGATTTGGTGCATTTGAATTATGATCTTGCTGAAGAATCCTGCAAGGTCTGTGGACTGCCAGAAGAACAAAAAAATCTGTCTTAGAAGTACAGCCAGATGCTCCTTAGAAGTCAAGATGGCAAGACTTTGCCTCACATACTTTGGCCATGTTATCAGGAGATATTAGTCCCTGGAAAAGGACGGCATACTTCCTGGAGCGGAGGATCAGTGAAAAAGAGGTGGCCCATCAAGGAGATGGATTTCTATACTGGCTACAACCATGGGCTCAAACATGACCAGGGCTGTGAGGATGGCACACGGCGGAGCAGCGGTTTGTTCTGCTGTGGACAGGGCTGCTGAGAGTCTGAACCAGAGGGGACTTGCGGGCCCCTAACAACAAATCTTTATGGGCCTCGAAAGTCTCCTCCTCCTCCTGAGGTGGGAGTGTGGCAGTAACTTATGTAAGCATTCGGGGCTATAAATTCCTAAGAACTCTTTTAGTTATATTAGTCATATCCCACAAGTCTTAAATGTTGTATTCTCCTTTTCATTCAGTCAGTGTCGTTTTTAATTTCCTGTTTAAGCCTTCTTCGATCTCTGGGTTATTTAGAAGCATCTTCTTTAATTTCCAAGTTTTTGGAGCTTTTTCTGCCTGTGCAGGGCTTTTTATCAGTTAACCCAACTCTTTTAACCAAAGAATAATATTCGTAGTGGTTTATCTTAGCCATTATTTTAAAAGTAAAAGGATATGGCACTTTTGAAGAACTAATATTCCTACAACATTCCTCTCATAAAAGCTTTGTCAAGTTCTTTCACTTCTTTTTATATTTATGTTCCTCACATAACTTACGGTCCTCAAACGTTTCCTTCTCCTCTGGAGGTGACTCGTCAAGCTTACTATCTCTCCTAAAGTCGGGGCTAGCCACCCTCCTCCCTCATCTTATTCCAGCTATCAGCTCACTAGTGTCCCTCGAACAACTGTCCAAATTTTATCAAAGCACTTTGATTGCAATGATGAACACTTACAAATAAATTTGACTTAGTGCATCGCTTCTCGCTCTATGAGGAACCCTAACAAGCGGGAAGGTAGTTTTCATTTCCAGTGTCACACACTAGGTGTCTAGCTAGAGGCTTGTGAATGAATGACCAGAAGGATCCTCCCAATCATGTGTAGGAACTAAATTTACTTCTCACAGGCCTTTCCTTAAGAGAGGAAGCCACCGATTCACTCTTGTTTACTCTAATTCACTCTTGTTCTCATCAGAGCAATGTCTATAGCTAGATGGACTTCTACCAAATCTGAAAATGAGCTCCCAAAGGCAGTCAAATAATTTATTCGGTTTAAAAAGACACTTTCAAGGTGTCTTTAAAAAACTGATATCCAAACTAGCCTCAATTTATATCTCAAGACAGATGCTGTTCTCCTGCTTTAGACAAGCAGCCCTCAATCATGTCTCCCACTGTGCTTTATCAGATGGTATTACACACATGATGCTTTCCTTTACACAGTGGTAGTAGTAATTCCTCTAATGCTAATTATTACTCTCCACGCCTCCTCTAATTCAAAATGTATTTCAGAATCAAAACAATGTTATTATAGTGATAGCTAACTCGGGGTTCACTTTCACTTTAAAAAACAAACTAGCTAACTTATGTGCAACTCACTAATATTTCAACTACCATTGTAGGAAAATTCTTGCAACATGTCTCAAAATTATTATAACATTATCAGGCATGTGCGGTGCTGCTGTTGTTATTATCATTACGATTAAAAACAGGACTTTACTACAGGTTTAACAATGGCATGAAATGGGAAAACTGTGTACCTACTTGCCACATGTTATTTGATTAACACATACCAATACAGGTTTTTTTTAATGCAAGTGTTCTATTATTGGAAACAATTTTTGGCCCATTTGTATCATTCTTACTTACCAATATACATGTCCCAACAATGAAAGAGTAAAGCAAGCTGAATCACCAAACTCGGTAACGATATCATCATGGCTTTTCTGTTTATTTAACACTCCACCAGATAAGATCTGTTCCCCTTCTGCAAGTCTTTAAGATACAAATTTACAGATTAAAAAAAGAAAGCAATATAAAGCATGATGTGCAGAGATATTCTAATGATAACCAATGTGCTTCTAAATATGAAGTTAAAGTAAAAAGTTCCTGGTACTTTTAGAAAAGCTGGAAACATGCATTTGGAATTCTTTTAGGAGGTTTATCCTCTTAAAATTCCATTCTTGCTTTTAAAAAATGGAACCAAAAAGAAAGGAATCAACTGAATTTAGTTTTTGTATTTATATATCTAGACTGAGTAGTAACTCATTACTCATGTAAAAAGAACTGGAAGATTATATTATAGCGAGAGGAAAAATACTGTCTTTCATTTTTAAGTGTGGTCATTATTATTTCTATAATTTCCTGAAACTGGGATCTGTAAGCACATTAAAAAAGACAAACATTTTAATTAAAAATTACGTATTTAATGAACTGAGTCATTTTAAGATTTTTAAAAAAGATTTTATAAACAAAACTTGAATGGTACTTCATCTCTTTTATCTGTTACTTTTTCTTGATATAAAATATTATGTTTCCAAAATAAAAAAAGTGCCTGATTTCATGATGCACTCTTTATGCATCAGTATTTATAATAGTTTGCATTTGAAATTTTGATTGAAAACAAATCATCAGGTGGGAAAGATCTCAAGTCAGTATGCTTAGCCTACAAGCACTTAAGACACTGCCATACCCAAAAGTGTGCAGAGTATAAAAGTTGACCAATAAAGTTCTTTTACTTCCAGTTGGATTATAAAAAAAGGAATAGTTATAAATGGAATACGAATGTCTAACAAAAACTGGCTTAAGAAACTAACTGAAAAATAAGATTAATCTTTTTTAGAATTAGAATGTTAAGATAAAAAATTTAATAGCTATTTTACATAGTTTTATTTTAAAAGTCAACAAACATTGGACAAATACAAATATATTTTTCTGTCCATGCAAACTTTGTGAGGCTTATTTGTACGCCCTTATTTGTAAACCTATAGACTAAACAGGCTTTTACAAATACCTTTGTAGAAACTTTTACCATTATTCCAACTCATACATCATGGAAAAGAGTTTAAGAGCAAAACTATGTTTCCACTTGCTGATTCTGAAGAGGAGCACTGTCTTGTTTTCGCTGTAATGCGCAACAGAGATGATCTCCTGAAACTGAATCACCACTTGGAAGACATAACAGTAATGGTTCCTAAATCGATTGATCTTGAAAGGAAACCCTTCATTGCACAATCACCTACTAAAAACCACTGTCTCTATGAATCAATTAAGACTCATCGGGCCCCTATTTAGGGTTTCTGGGGCAATAAATCTTCTTCTAAGGGAGCAAATAGCCTCCACTTTTACCCATACCACAGCTGGTGGGTATGAATCACTGATCTGTGGTTAGCAGTCCAATGCCTATCTGACTATCAGGGCTCACAACCATTTAAGACACTGCCATGCCCCAAAAACCCACTATGGTTGAGTCAATGCTGACATATGGTGGCCTATAAGAAGTGAGTAAAATTGCCCACAGGTTTTCAAGGCTGAGAATTGTGATGGAAGCAGACTGCCATATTGTTCTCCAAGGGAGCAGCTGGTGGGTTTGAACTGGCAACCGTTTGGTTAACCAGTTGAGTGCTTCAACCACTGTGACACCTGGATTCCTTAGATACAGTCAAGGAGGCACTAATCTCTGGTAATCTCTGACAATGATGAACTGGCAGGTACACAGGCTTATTCTAACTGGTCTAACAATGAAAGCAAAGTAAACAAAGTATCATTTGTGATCATTTTAGATTTGAGGAACTGATGGGAATTAGTTTTGAGTTTCTCCAGGGCTAAAATATATTATTAATTATTATAACGATGAAATCTCTCCATCACAAAAAGATTCCAAAGGTAACAGAGTAAACATTTCAAATGTTGGTAGACAAACCCTACTGCCAGAAGGGAGCACTATCCTTTGTGTTGTGGGGATGAGAGTCAGCTGGAACGGACCGTGTACACTCGCGTATAAACTGACCTAAATATCAGCTGAAGCACCTAATTTTACTACAAAAACTGCATAAAAATGTGGTGGAAAACTCGGCTTCTACATGAGTATACACAGTAATCTGATGAAATAATTTTATTCAACATTCTACTCTGTAAGTGGGACAAAATTAGCGAGGGGGGAAAAAAGATTAGAGAACTTACTTGCTGAGATCAACACAGCACTTGGCAAGCAGGTATTTACACTGTGGTGTAGTACAACTGTGTCCTTTCAAGAGTCTATATGCTTTATATGCCTTTCCTGAGCGGTAGTAACAGGTTGCCAATAGAAACAAGGCTTCTTCGGAGTGCACTAAGAACATATATATACATAGAAACAAAGGGGACTGTTATTCAGTATGTTGAGTGGTCATCATAAATTTATCAGGGCATAAGCAAGTTTAACAGTAAAAGAAAATGAAGTATCTTATTTAATATAAAACTATAACTTATGAATTCAAATTTGAATTAGAGAGAAGTATTTCATGATGGAAAGTTGTTACCCAACTCCTGATTACCTGCTTCCTACAAGGAACCCAGGAAAATAATAGAAGATACTAATGGGATTCTACGGTTGAGACCTTAAAAAAGAAAACCACATACACACGTCTTTAAGCGATTTAAACTCATTGCCCTCGAGTCGATTCCGACTCATAGTGACCCTGAGTGAGAGCAGAATTGTGGCACAGGGTTTCCCCAAGGCTGCACTCTTCACAGAAGGGGCCTGCCACACGAGCGTTGCTGAGTTCCAATTGCACGCTTTCCATCAGCAGTCAAGTGCTTACCCACCCACAGTACACCAGCATACCTTTTCAATAGACGTATCCTAGTTTGTATGTAATATTTTCTGATAGATTTTTTAGTAGTGAAAAGTCAAATTTCACTAGAGAAACAGCTATACACATCATTACCAATCTGAAACAATTTCTTCTTCAAAGAAAAGGCCAGATTTAAAACAACAGAAAATCCCACTATTTTCTCTAATCAACCAAATTACATTTACGATAAATAGAAGGAAAAATTAATTGTGAATACCCTTATCATTTTAACATTCAGTGGACACCCTTGACACTTCTATAATAACAATTCATTTGCTCTCCAATGGCAGAACTGCTATGTCCTCCTGAAATGTTAACTTTATTCAAAGATTTGGCTAAAAACAGTAATTTGACATTTTATTCTTATGAGGTTTTTATACATTCACAAGTCATATACACATTCAAATAAACAAGTGAACTCTTCTACTGATTCCACTTTTGATTATCCTCAAACTCTAACATTAAAAAATGTTAATATGTAGTAAATAGTACGAAATCTTGATATGTGTGTTAATTGCATGAGCATGAGTCCTACAGATACAAATAACAAATAATAATAAACTGTATCCTACAGATACAAATACAAATAATAATAAACTGGAAGCTCTCCGCAGTGGGAACAGAGGGCTAATTGCTACAATGCAATTGCTAATCTTAGTTCCAATACTAATTCACAGGAAGTTAGCAAGTGTGATTTCATCTACATTTTGCAAAGGACTAGTTATAAGTTAAATTTTAAGAAATTAAAAAAAGAGAGAGATTACTGATTGTACCAATAAAAAATGGTTTACACAAATTAATTTAACTTCCAGTCACAATAAAGCCTTAGCATGCTGAAACTACTTTTTTTGACATGTAATAACTTAAAAGGCTGGTATATGCAAAGGGGACTTTAAAATGACAATAGACTTTTTCTATGAGCTTTTTGAAGCCCCATGTAACAAAAAACAAAAGCCTGTTGTCATTTATGGTCACATACTTGGGGGGAGGTGGGTGGGGCTGGGTAGTATGGCTCTCTATCAAGGCAAAGACAGAAAAGAGATAGGTGCTGAATAGGTCACCCTGATTCAGTCCTCTGCTGAGCTGAGCCCAGTTTATGTTAATTGATTTACCCAATGCAATTTCTGCATCTGTTCATTAGTCATTAAGACAGGCAGAAAACAGGTGAACAACTTTTGGGGACCTATCTTCACCTTAAAAATGAAACATTTTCTAGTATAGGGCACAAAATCTCTATTAAAGGTAAAACTAGAGTTTAAGCTAGATTTAGTTTTGAATTAGGGCCCTCAACACAACGCAGAAATATACATTGATACTACCCTGAAGAAATATTTGGGAAACAATGTTTTACACTATTTCCTTTTTTTCATTTCTATTTACCAGTTACAATCCCCATTACTATATGGCTTTATAGCAGTTCGTTATTGGGAAAGTGGGGAGGGAAACAACACACACAATTTAAGACACATGAAATTTAAGTCTAGATAATATTTCAACACAAAGGAATTATGCTTCAACTATTCTGTTCTCCTTCTCTCCCCCAAGGACCCACCATATTAGTCACATGACTGTACCTAAGAGACAGTTTCTAGGAGGTTCCTAACCACTCATGTCTAGTCATTCCTGACAATTACAAGTTTACAATTTAAAATCTTAGGAATCTTAGAAATGCTACATGCTAGGTACCAGAAGAACAAGGGAGAAAGCTTTCAGTCTACATTGTGACCAAATTAACCAATTACCTATGGAGAACAAAACCTTGGTCAGAGGGATCAGGTATTGCAGTGAAAAGGAAAATTACCAGGGTGCTTCAAAAAGTTTGTGGAAAAACTTCATTATCTCTTAGCTCCATTTTTCCATGAACTTTTTGAAGCTCCCTCAAATGTGCTTGCAGTAGAGATGGGGAATGTGGAGGCAGACAGGATCAGAGCTAAGTTTTTTTCCAAATGGCAAGTCTCAACTCATTAGCCAACTCTTAATCAAAGTACATTAAAACAAACAAAACACACAAAAAAACAACAAACAAACAAATTCACTTTCATTGCCATCAAGTCGACTTTGACTCACAGTGACCCTACAGGATTTCTGAGGCTGTAAATCTTTACCGGAGCAGAAAGCCTCAGAGTATCCTGATTATTAGTTAGTGGTTTTGAACTGGTGACCCTGTGGTTATCACACATGTAACACATTACACCAACACATACACAGTAAAGGCTTAAGAAAAAGATCTGAGAAGCCATTGTCCTAAGAGATGCTAAGAGACAGAGTAAACTTGTAAGGAGCTTCCTACAGGTCAGAAACATTTCTCTTTCCATTCTAAAGATGAGAAAAAGTAGGCTCAGTGTAGCTTCTTGCTTAAGATCAAATGGTCAATGAACATCTGTGTTGAGATTCTCACATATCACCTCTATCAGTCTCATCATTCAGGTACACTATCCATGAAATACTTAAGAAAAAGATAAATGGGTGATATATAGAGCTAACGAAACTGGAAAATCATTTCAAATAAAAGATCCTACCCATCAGCTTCTTTCCCAGAAACACAGGGACTACTACTAGTGGCAGTGGAGGTCACCAAAGCATCCCAGCCCTGACCAACTGATGCTGCAAGCCTAAAGCATTGTACTGAAAAGAACTGAGGACTGACGGATTAGCGGTGGTCCTATGGTTGTAAGTTAGGAGTAGCAGTATTTGCTATCTTTGCTAAAGTGGAGTCAGGACAGATCTACCATTCGCTGATCTGGACAATGGGTTAATTTGTAGTAGAACTGATCAAACCCTTTGACTTGGAAATTCCATTTTAGAATACACAATTCAAGGAAATGACTCAAAATGGAAAGAGGGGCGGGGGTGGGGTGGGTGGAGGTGCACCTAATTATCTATACTAGCTTCTTATAAAGAGAATGACAAAAATTTAAGAACCGAAACAAACCCCACATTAACAGATGTTTATCAAGCAGTTACTGCCATAGCAGAAGGCTCTGCTAAGTAAGTGCTTCAAATATATTCTAATTTAGTTCTTCAACTGAACTTATGAGGACATTTTTATCATCCTCTTATAGGATTAAAAATCTGAAATACTCGGAGCTTAAATAACTTGTATGAGGTTCTGAAGCTGTACAATTAAGTGACCAAGTTATAGTTTGGACAGAGGCCAGACTCTAAATCCATGCTCTTAATCAAAAACATAAACTCTGTTCTAATAAGAAATCTGAAAAAAATGCTTGCAGATTAGAAAATTATTAAGTAAATTCTACATTTATTGAGACGATCCTATTAGAGAGCTATGGATAAAGTTTTTATGAATTAGTGGCAATCAAGAAGAAAAATAAATTAAAAGAATAAGCATTCTGTTATAACAAATAACACTGAGGAGCAAAAGAATACCTAGAATCTTGTTACGATCATAAAATCTGATGAAATTCCATCTTTTATTGTCCATCTATAGCATTAAGTAGATTGCATACCTTCTGCATACAGTCTTTCTGCCAGGAAAACTGCATCGCGGTATGCATAGTGGTTAAGTGCTTGCCATATAGCAGCCTGTAAGGAAAAAAAAAAGAACTTATGTTGACAATTGCTGTGGGATTGATTCTGACTCATAGTAATCCTACAGGGCACAGCAGAATTGTCCCATGTTTTCCTTTTCTTTTTGTTGCATTGAAAAAGCTTATATTTAAAACTAGCCAGCGGGATTCAGTTTATATCAGTGGTTCTCAACCTTCCTAATGCTGTGACTCTTCAATACAGTTCCTCATGTTATGGTGACCCCCCCACCCATAAAATTATTTTCGTTGCTACTTCATAACTGTAATTTTGCTACAGTTATGAATCGGGTGACCCCTGTGAAAGGGTCATTAGACCCCTAAAGGGGCCGCGACCCACAGATTGAGAACCGCTGGTTTAGATGATCCTGGTTTTGTTGGCAACATCAATGCATCATAGTTAAAGGCCAGTGGAACATATGCCTTCTTTTCACTGCCAGGCCCGATCAAGGTGTTGACCTTGGCTATATCAATGTCACAGTTTCTTCACGGCCTGTTTAATCTGGTGCTTGTTGACCTTGCCGTCCACCATGAACGGGGTGTTGTTATCTTGAATCTTCTTCATGGCAGATTCAAAGGGACCCTGATGATGGCAAAATGGTCCAGCATGTTTCTCCTCAGGGCTCTTCCAAGGCTATTTGGGCTGCCTCTTAGGGCTCAGGGTCTTGGGCCACCGGAAGGTGGGTGACGTGCAGATCTTCTTTTTGTGTGTGGTTGTAGACACCTTTCAGCACGGTCTTCTTGGTCTTTAATGCCTTTGCTTTGGCTTTCATTTAGGGAGGGCCAGGGCCTTCCTTTTTTTGTCTTCCGCACCATCTTCGTAAAAAAGCTCATGTGGATATTCTAGGCTGCAGTATTAACAGGAACACTGATGGCCAGGCCTCGCCCCCCCCACCGCGCATGATTCCTTTTGGTTAGTTGCTGAGTGCTTAACTATTGTGCTACCAGGGCTGCTTACACATATACTTTCCCCCCTGTTTTCTCAAGATAACTCAGTACCAAAACCCAAGCACCTATTGCCCCCTTAAGTTGAATCTTACTTACAGTGAGCCTATAGGACAGAGCAGAACTTGCTCAGGGAGTTTCTAGAAACTGTGCATCTTTACTAGAGTAGAAAAAAACCTCATCTTTCTCCCACAGATCTAGTCAAGTGATAAAATCCTGTGGCCGCAGTGCAAACTCCTTGGTACATCAGAAAAGGTTCTTCATAGAATGCGTTCTATCTTATCTATCCGGATTCATTCAACTCTCATGGCTCTGCAGGCCTCTAAGCCTTTATACTTGGCTTTTCCTTCTTTGGGGAATGTGATTGCCTTCCCTCAGCCCTTAAAGCTGTTCATCTCTGTGTAAGACACTGTTTAAATAACACCTAGTCTATAAAGCTTTCCTCAGTGATCATTAGCTATTTATTTTTTCAAACATAGCTTTAGTGCAATGCTTATAAAGAGCCCAGATGGTGCTGTGGAATAAGGACTGGGTTGGTAACTGTAATGTCCTTGGTTCAAAACCGCTGGCCTACAATAGGGAAAACAGTGAGGTTATCTGCTCCTCAGGGTCAACAATGAGAGCAGAGAAACCAGGAGGATTAGGGAAGGGTGGGGGTAGAGAAGGGGCATCGCTCACAAGGATCAAACTTTAACCCCCCTTCCAGGGGGACAAATAATGGAAAAGCAGGTGAGGGGTGATGGAGGACATATAAGATATGAAAATAATAATCTGTAACCCATAAGGGTTCGTGAGGGAGGGTGGATGGGGTGGGGGGTGAGGGAAGAAATAGGGAGCTGATGTCAGGCGCTCAAGTGGGAAGATAATGCTTTGAAAATGATGATGGCGGCATATGTGCAAATGTGCTTGACACACTGGATGAATGTATGGATTGTGGTAAGAGATATAAGAGCCCCCAATAAAAGTAAGAAAAATGAATAAAAAGACTTATAGTCTCAGAAACCCTATACAGGGTCACAGTGAGTCAGAATTCACTTGCTGGTAGTGTGTGCAGTTTGATTCTGGAGTGGAACACTCATATGATATTGCAGTGATTTTTTTTTTATGGGTCTGCCTATACCACTTGGCTGAAATCAGAGATACCAGAAAGATGTTTACTTGTGTTTTATTGACGAGGCTGAGGTCTCATAAACTACATATAGCCTTGAAAAGAATGTGGATTCCATTGGTTGTGTTCACGGAGAACTTGTGCACGGATCAAGAGGCAGTTCTGAAAACAGAACAAGGGAATACTGCATGGTTTAAAGTCAGGAAAGGTGCATGTCAGGGTTGTGTCCTCCCCCCATATTTATTCAATCTGTGTGCTAAGCAAACAATCAGAGAAGCTGGCTTATATGAAGAAGAAGGTGGTATCAAGACTGGAGAAAGGCTAACGAGCAATCTGAGACATACAGATGGCACAGCTTAGCTTGCTGAAAGAGAGGGGGATTTGGAGGCACTTGCTGATCAAGGACTGCGGCCTCCAGTATGGATTATAACTCAATGGGATCTTAACAACTGGACCACTAGGTAACACCATGATAAATAGCGAAAAGTTATCAAGGATTCTGTCTTGTTTGGAACCACAATCAATGCTCATGGAAGCTGCAGTCAAGAGTTCAAATGAAACGCTGCATTGGGTAAATCTGCCAAAAATAGTGTTGAAAAACAGGGAGGCCGGGAGGGGGAAAATGAGGAGCTGATGCCAGGGGCAAAAACAAACAAACAAACAAACAAACAACCCCCCCAAAAAACAACAAAAATCAGGAAGGACAAAGATGCACCGGACCTAAGCCCAGGTCTTTTCAGTTGCTTCATGTGCATGTGGAAACTGGACACAGATTACGGAAGACTTAAGAAGAATTGATATGTTTGAATTATGGTGCTGAGAACAATACTGAAAGTAACACGGATTGCCAAAAGAACAAATAAATCCGCCTGGGAAGCAAAGTACGGCCAGAATGCTCCTTAGAGGTACAGGTGGCAAGAAGTCATCGCACGGCACGTACTTCAGACACGTTGTCAGAAGAGACCAGTCCTTGGAGAAGGACATCATGCTTGGTAAAGCAGAGGGGCTGCAAAAAAGAAGACAGATTGCTACAGTGGCTGCAGTAACGAGCTCAACCGTAACAATTGTGAGGACGGCGCAGGGCTGGGTGGGCATCTCCTTGTGTTGTACGGAAGGCGCTGAGTTGGAATCGACCCGACAACAACAGAATGAGGTTAAACATCTCTTCATGCATTCACTGGTAATTTATTTCATGTTTCTTGGTTTTCTGGCAAATGACTGTTCAGGTGGCATCCATTTACTGACCCTTCTGTAGAAACTCTCTTATAGCCTATGAGAGTAAATTAAAAAGTACTGCAAATACTAGGGCCCCAGTTCATACACAAACAGGTTTGTGCCAAACAAATTGTGCTTACACAGGTGGCTGGCTACAAACAAGTTCTCTTAGCATTGCACTTGTCTTAGCCTCATTACAGTGCCTTAAAAATTAATAAAAATACAGGATACTTTTTGTACCATGGGAGAAACAATTCTGAGGTCAGGTCTAACATCAAAATTTTGACAAAATTCAAGTGAATAATCCAGTGCCAAATCAACGAAGTGCTGCAAAAAGTTTACAGGCATGGTGCCTCACATAAAGCATTAGAGGAACAAGCTTTTTAAGGAAAGTTGGGAAGAAGTAAGATGAGCCTTGATGATGGATGAAACTGATGCACTGTGGTCCAGAACTGGAGGAAGACAAGCATTCCCACTGATGTGATAGCACTGAAGTTGTGCGACACTTTCAGTGAACATCTTGGTCTTGCCAAGAGTTTGGCTTGATGGGTGACAAAGCATTGTGTGGAGATCAGCTAATGCAAAGAAATGATCTTCCTATCAATCTTTTAAGTAGGACTGAAGCTAATGAAGACATTTTTATGGAATTACTTGTAAATGGAGATGAGTCTTAGATTTATCCAGAAAATAAAATCCAATCAAAACAGTGGTTTCTGAGAAGTTTTATGAGGCCATTTTAATTCAAGGCAAAGAGGTCAGCTCAGAAAGTTATGCTGTTTGTTGGGATTCTGAACGAGAAAATCTGGAAAGACTTTCTCAAAAGATACAGGATTATCATGGGGTCCTACTAGGAACACATTTTAAGAAAACGGAAAACTGCATTGATGAGAAATGGGTCAAGAAAGCTGAGTAGGGGAATGAAAATTTTGTTGGGAAACCTTACCCTTCCCAACTTACTGCCCTGATCTTGCCCAAGCTTAAAGAACATTTAAAAAGGAACACAACTTGAGTCTGAGGGTGCCAAAATTACTGTTTTGACATAGGATAAGCTGAAGACCCCAGAAATTCTCTGGAAGAGTCAATGGAAATGCCACCTTCAGAAGTATATAGACCTGGATGAAGGACATGCCAAGAAATAATAGCTAGACATTTTGATTTTTTTTTTGTTTAAGAAAGTTTCTATTATTTTGTAGCAACATTTTTTTGGACATATCCTTAAACTATACAAACTACATTTTATGAGATCTCAAAAATGTTTGACTTGACTATTCCCATCTGAATACAAAGGAAAGGGCGGCAAGAATTTAACCTCACTTAAGTAAACTATACTCATGTAGGCAGGACACTTTCCCCTCAGCGTTAGTGCTCTCGGCCCCTTCATCCTGTAACTTCGAGTAACGACTTCACACTTGCTACTCAAAGTGTGGTGCTGAGGACAGTGACACTGGCACCACCTGGGCTTTCTAGAAGTGTGGGATCTCAGACCCCCCAGATCTAGTAAACCAGAATCTGCATTTTATCAAGATCCCCAGATGAGTTTGGTATGTATAGAGAATCTTTGATCTCAAAGGCTTATTCTCATTAAAAACCTCCTGGTTCGGTACAATCTTACAGGGCAAATGTCCTATCTCAGGTTACACAAATGTCAGTAAAATAATTCCCAACCTATAGGTCATGCCCCTTTTTCTTTTTGACTAGTCAAAGAATTTTATAACCTCTGTTTCAAATTT